CTCTCTCTTTTGTTTAAAGTCAGAACTACCGCTAGTAGGGTTATTAACAACCCGGACATAGAAATGTATATTTCGTTGACTAGTTTGGCGTGTTTTAGATATTGTAGGTTAATAAGTCGATTGATTTATTGTCCTTTAAATTGTTTTTCGGCGTAAGAATGTAATCGCGTATCGTCGCATAGCGGAATTTACAACTCCCCAAATCTCAAGTGAGTTGACATCGATGTCATTGCTCCATTGGTTTCGCATCGATGAGATGGCGTTCATAAAATAGCGGAACATGTGAAATTTTCTACTTTGATAATTGATAATTGCGAATTCGATAGCGTATTTCAAGGTATTGAGTTAGTAATGGAGGACGAGTGCATCGCGATATAGTTTGACTTTTTTGTCAGTTGATCCCTAACGGCTGCAAATCCACAGTCATTTGGGCTTTTTATTTGCCTATATGTATAGCTACATTTATAAGTGTCTCCTCTAGTTCTCTATGAAGGATCTTTAGCACGTGAGGATTGATATTTCTGTTACTTTGTTCAAGTAGCTCATATTGCTTTCAACATTCGGGATGATCCATGTGGAGATATCGTGAATCGATGTTTCAGTTGTGTGCTGAATTTCCACGTATAACTGGTTCAAGTAGTACCTTATCCTGTAATTAAATGGAGTGGACATACGGTTGATCGAGGGTAGTGACATTATGTCCGAATGTGTTTAAGTACACTGGGTTTTGTTGGCACAAGATTTTGTTTAACCGGCAATGATAGTTTTGATACCTCATTAAGAATGTTGTTGATTGGACTAGAGCAAAAGGCACCGACTGCTATTCTAAGTGAACTATTATGTACGGAATCTAACTCATTTAGGTTTGTTTGACTACTGTGAATTTTAGATTGGTCGAGTTCGACACTTTTTCGCTATAGATACCGCTTGTAACGATAGCGTTAGCGAAGATGGCTAATCCTCCGCTGTGAAAAGTATCGTAGTTTTTATTTTACCTGAGCTATAGTTTTTAAAGTTTCTTCCCCATAGATAATTCGTGGTTGTAGTTCATCTGTTAGCAATTGTAAATTTTAATTCGATACGTTTGTAAAAGCTATTGCGATATCATTGAATAATTTGGAGTGACGTGATATGAACATGGCTGATTTGTAGTCGGTGTTTATGAACGATGTAATTATATTTGGAAGGAAACAATGGCTTAGAAGATGGTTCGTAGGCGGATAAGTTCTAGCTTTTCTATTAATCGATCGAGTCTGCTTTCTATCCCATGATCCTGGAGCGTACGATGAATTAACCTGGACATATGGATTAAATTCTTAATGTTGGTCATATATTCCTTGAAAATATCCTTTGGGTCTCCTTGATTGACAACATTCTTCGAGCAGCAGTTTTGAGTCGAGTGCAGTTAAGCTTAAATACGCTAGAAAAATTTTCAGTTGCGAGATTAATCGGTTTTACTATGCCCTCCATTTTGTCGATGATTCTAGTTAACCAGTGGCTTTCTCTGGCTTTTTCTTCATTATTTGTCTCGAATTCACTGCTTCGGTTAAAGTTTTTGTCGGCGGAGTTGCTCGGATCGACCTCGTTGGTATGTTTTCGTTGTTTAGTCGATCTTCAGTGAAAGTCTTTTGTTATAAACAAATGTTTGAAATAACATCGAATCGAGTGTTGCTTCTATGGTATTAGGTAAATTAAGTAATATAAGCGGCGAAGTGTCCTTTATTTCTGTTAGACAATTTAGTCTTTAATTTAAATTGGTTTATTAACTTTGATTATTATATTCAAGATTTCATTTTAACTATACACAATGTCTTGTCGACACGATGGTTGGATCGAGAAGACGGAACAAAAAAAACAAAAACAAACGGTGTGTATTAGACTCGTGGTCATACCACGTGACCAGGTCGAACAAGTACATAATACATTTAACAGGTGTCGCGATTAGCGTAGTATCGCTTAAAATACATTCTTCAGGAAAAGTGTTTGTAAGTTTTTAGATAACGTTTGCAAATAATTTGTTCCTTTTCGTTGTTTGTCTCGTTGTTTGATAGGTTTAATGATTGAGTTTGAGTTATACAGTTGCATTGTTTTGAAATATGTCCTCCCTGTTTATTTAAGTTAACACGTGACTTTTTTAGTAGGTACAAAATTTCTGTATCAAATGTTTGCATTCTTATGTTATTTCAATCTTCGTACGAAGATTTGGAAATATTCGGAAAATCTCGGTTAACGTAGACTTGACATCTGAAGCAAGGAGAATATTGGAGTGTATCATTTTTAGTAAAATATTAAACAGAGACCTGACTGAGGTGATCTCGTTATTGATTATTAGTGTTTCAAAGTTGCTTGGAAAATTTGTCTGGTGTGCTTTTATTACCTAGGTATATACGGTGTTATATATATTGTATACGTATATATTGCTCGATGAACGGGAAGTCAATCGGATAGCGTTGAATACGGTAATCTCCCCTGCGACTAGTACATATTTAGTCATATTTGTATCGCCTACAGCATCGATCAATAATGATTGCTTGTTCCTTGTCAGGAAATAAACTATTAGTCGTAGTTGATGCGTAAGGTAGGTTTTGAGTAATCGGTGAGGTATTTAGTTTTCATGGTTGTGTCACTCGAGTTAAAAGTCTCTTCAGTGCAAGGCGCACACTATGGTCCTTCCTATCTATCGCCCTCTGCTTGAAAGCAAGACAACTCAGTCGTTAGCGAATCGAATTTGAAGCGGAACTGCCAGTTTGCATCCTCCAACCACTAGAACGGGCAAGTGGTGGAGATCCTATTTTGGAGTTCGAGGGAAGTAGCTCTCGCGTTCCTTGCGACCACTCTCAGATTGCGGACGTACACGCATTTAAGGTTGTTACAAGTGTCCGCCATCTTTATAACAACATTTGGATACTCAATTATTCGAGCAATTAAATTGACAGTCGATTCAATGTGCGGATGCCTTCCAACTGCTGCCGAGTGGATGGCTAAGCTCGCTTCCGCTGCCATCCGATTCCACTTCGTTGATGACAGCTTCTCGTTACAGCGAATATCCACATAGTCCCGTATGTACACGTTTATTCCGTGTTTGGTCAGCGGGTACTTTCATCCGCGTACTCCCAACGAAATAAAATTTTTTTTTTATTTAAAAAAGTAGTTTCACATCTCAAAAATGTGACATAAAGATTTCAGATCAAATTTCACTGTCTTTATCGTCGTCTTTACAATTTGGAGCTGATATAGCCTGCAGTAGAGACTACGCAGTCTTGTAGAGCGTAATTTATGGTTCACTGAAATATCCGTCGCACCTTCTGCCTATCTTATCCATGAACAAGATTATGAATGTTCGTAAAAGTCACTAAAATGTAACAAGGAAATTTAATATTTCAGTGTCTTGAAATATTAAAGAACGTGTATGCAAAGTGCCGAAAAATTTCGACAGGTTTCATACCGTAAAAAATTACCAAAAGTCGCTCTTCATCTGGGAGTTAACGCGAGGCTCCTCCGTAATTAGCTTAAGTTTATTTAAATTAGCATTAGAGCATTCGACTATTTTTATCCACTAGTTATGTAAAGTTGACGAACGCCGCGGCGAGACACTAGTCCAGGATTGATTCCTATCAGACCCAGCGCAACATCCACATTATGTACATACATCCAAAATTTAATATAGCAGTACCAGAAATATTTACAATTACCTCGAAAATTATAGCTAAGCGGCAGTTATTGCTGAAATAAGAGTTCTTCAGAATTTCATCCTATATAACATTATTCAAAATCATTTTGATCGGGTCACGCATTTTGTAGTTTTTGTAGCATTTTATGTTTTATGCCAAAAAATTGCAAAAATACACTTTATCAATCTACCGTGATCTATATTTGTCATAGATACTACAATACAGCATTTTTTCACAAAAAAGGAAAAGATAAGCACATTTAGACCAAGGACTTGATAAATACCAAGAAAATTTTACACCTTTACTAATTTCGGTAAAAAAATTAAAAATAGCATTTCTCGAGTTTTTGATACAGTTACCTCATTGCGCTTTATGTTTAAATGCGTTGTATTTAAATGTAATGTTTAAATGCACGTTTAACATCGTGAAACTTCTTTCTTTAGAGTCCGATCGATAATGCATGTTTGACCATTTCTAAAATATTATTTCAAGTTTTGATTAAAAATTCGTAATTTACATTTATATTTTTTACTTACTTAATTTCTTCGTAACATCTTTCGATACAAAGAAGAATGCAATTTAATATGTTTGACCTAGAAGAATCCTAACTCGAATCAAATCAAGATTGTAGAATCGAACATTCTTACTAGTGACGTATAATTTTTCCACGCATATTTGTATTATTTATATTTATTTTTTTCATATTTTTCATATTTATATTATTTATATTTATGTCACATTTTTTTTATTCATTATAAGTACGTTATTAGTATATTTTTGCTTAATTCGATGAAATATCTGTAACAGAAACTAATCATAGTTATTAAAAATTTCTACAAAGCGATGTCAAGTCAGAATTATAAAACAAAAGTTGCTTTGGTATTCTTGCATAAAATACAACCTGAAAAATGTTCGTATACGTATATACGTTATATTGTATTGTAACACGCGCAATAACGCATTTACGTTCGAATATACTTGTTTGTAAAATCACGAACTGAATAACTTTATTCCAAAGCTCGTTATTTCAATTGTACATGATAAATTTCGGTTCAGCTACATCAACCATGTAGCCATACTTTGTCACGGACCCTACAAATCCGCGAAATTTGAATCGATAAATTGCAATGCTCGAAATGCTGCATACGTGATATAAAATTCTACTAATTCTCGAGAATTTCAACTTTATTTATTTACAACCTTTACTTATTTACAACATTTACAACCTTTAGCTCGTAACAAAATATTCACTTTTCCTTGAAGACATTTGCGTGATGCCAAATTTGATTACAGGAAATGTCGGGAGAACGAACCAGCTTACCCTGCTTTTGGATTAGGAAATACAATGAAATTAGAACAACTTACTGCATATTGGACATGGTCAAGCTTTACCCGAATCATATTAAAATTTAAATTCGAACTGAAGACTTTAAAAATATTTACACCGTATTTACGACAACAACTACATAATCTACTATATGCTTGTGGATTGAATTTAACAGAACATCGAGTTATGGTATTGTAAATATTTTATTTCCTTTAAATATTCTAAAACTCACTTGTGCAATCTGTTTTCCAATATAGATTTTATATAAATGTGTGTTTAAAAATGTTTTGTGCAATCTGATTAATAAAGTAGAGAAATTAAGTAGCACGTAATATAGTAGTAATAACCTTTCCACTACGCATTAGTATATTTTAAACCATCGGTATGTTTTATTCCATATATACTTCTCTCCTATCCTCACTTGAAACGATATCATTCTCCTTGCAATATTCCATCGTTAAATTTACGATACTGCTTAAAAGATGCTTCTTTACTTGAAAGTAATTTCTAAGTAAATACTTATTATATTTAATTAGTACGTGCAGTAGGCCTAGATTTTAATAGACAACGTTGATAATAATATAAGTAAATTGGTTTAAATGTTAAAATTTAAAAGAACAAATAATAGACAGAATCGTTATCATTCAATTTCTAAAACATTGAAATTCTCGATATAACAGATGTTCCCTACTCCGTTTCGCGTCTATTAATACCTTTAAAGCGTGAGTTCATCTAACAAGCGTAAACAGAGTATTTTTATGTCAAATTTTTAAATATGTTCGTTACCTTTATCGATATACGGATTTGTGTTACGACGCACGTGTTTGATTCGGAACAACGTATACAGTGATTCATATTATTCGTCCAAGGTTATCCTTTTTTTGCTTTTGAAAACCGTTGTCAATGTTTTGCATTAAGTTTTATTTTACAATGTGACTTTCGTGGGTGATATTAATATACAAAAACGATCTGTGATGTCACGACTATCGAATAATCTTCGGTAAAAGATCGCGATAGATAACTACCAAGAAAATTAGAAAATTGGAAATTTATCGTTTTCTATTTATTATCCTGTAAGAAATTTTTCATGCGATTTTCATTGACTCCAGTCATTTAACCATGCGTTTCGAATTACAACTTTACACGAAGAATATGTCCATTGTAATACCCAATGTATTTTTAACTTCGCTTTCCATTGAAATTGTACACGAATTAGCACTACTTCTCGTTACAACTTCATTCGTATCATCATTCGTGCCAAACTTTTATTATCGCTCGCAATTTTATATCCTAAATTCTTTTTATTTATGTCCATTCGTGACTATTACATCGTCTAATCGTTAGTCACTCGAGTTATCACCTAAGTGCGCTTAACGTCTACATTCAAATGATATGGTTATTTTTTACCTAAATTGACCTAAATTGCACGATAAAAAATATGTATTCTCTAACTGCATCTGTTCTTTCCAGTTTATAGAAATCACAGTCGATTAATTTCGTATTTATTGGTATTTTACTACTAGAAAGGCCAGTTCCATTAATATTTCAATGATATTCTGATTATTCGCTTTAACCACGTATCGACTTTATTCTAATGTATGTAGACGATGAGGACGTTATGCGAATATTTAGAACAAATGTATAATATTAGATTTGTAAGCGTTATTTTTATGATGAATCTGTAACCTTGTAGAAATTGTAAGAAAGAAAGACGTGTAGAAAATATAGTCGTATTTGACGAAACAGTGACCAAGTTCATGTACAGAGTACTCAATGGAGACGAGCTGCGTCTTTATGAAAGTTTTCTACAAATCCGGACCAAAAAGCTCATATTCTTCTCCATATATAAACTTTTTAAAGATATCGCTTGTCTCCTCCGAGTGTTACATCTCAATATTATAACTAGTAGAATGCGAATGTCTTTACAAAAATACTATATCAAAATGTGCAAGATATATAAAACATATACGGTACAAAATAAAAATGTGGAACACGCAGAGAACGCAATTTTTGCATAAATACCTGAAAAATGTTAATTTATTTATTTGCAAATATAAATCGATTTTAGTTCAAGTTACAGTGTACTACAATTGCTTTCTCATTTTTTACACGGCGTATTATTTACAGAAACGTATTTAAATTTACACCAATGTTATGCTGCTACTTCCAACTCCTTCGTGATGTGTTCGTCCAATAAAATTTTATTAATTTTTAACATTGTACTGAAATTCATATTTCTATTTAGGATATATGTATGTATGTAGCTTTAATTTTGCGTGCAATTTCGCGATACTTCATTTCCCAATTTTTTTACCTTCTTTCCGTATTAAATTCAAAAGATATAAAATAATTATTTCCTGTCAGCTGACGTAACAGCTTGATATTATCGCTTCTGATGACAATCAAATATTTTAGAATTTATTTTCATAGTAAGTCTCCACGTATATTGGAATACCTAGAAACACTTTTTTAGTAGTAGACGTTAACTTATTAACCGAAGAAGATCGTGGGCGAACTTTCTTATCTATTCTATTTTACCTATCTGCCATACAAAATGAGATATAATTGCATAAAATATTTTTAAATGTTTCATAAATTTCAACGTATATTCAACATAATGTCCTCCTAAATGTTCTAACTAGTTAACTAGTAACAATCTTCTAAATGATTTTCCCATAATGTACATTTACCTGGAATATCTTTATTCGTGTATTTTTCTTTCCTTTTTTTTTTCTTTTTGTTCTAGAAAATCCATTCACAGTTTATTATTAAGATATCGCCATGGTATATTTATAGCCATCATGATTTGTACTATTAAAGGTCCCTTTTTATGGTCTTCTACATCTGTAATTACCATATCTGTATTTAATTACTGTAGCACCGTGATTAAATGATTTGTAATAATAGACACTATTAAATGATTCGATGTAACTCACTCGAAGTCGTAATCATACCGCTCATTCTAAGATTCATCAGAATTTTATTTCAAAATTTCACTTGATTTTGCTTGTTCTTATTTGATGATTAATGCAATTGGATCAATGACACGTTTTCAATGAAACATGTACATGCAAAAGTCTATGCATTTATGCTGGATATATGCACTTATATCTATCAAAGGAATAAGTACGGCCCTGAAAGAATGTCAAGAGTGTTTGGGTTCATAATTAGAACGAAAGTGACCGCGTACAAGAAGATCGAATGTAAGGGATGTTTATGACAGAGTCGAATGCAAGTGAAGCATGAAGCCTAGGAATGCGTCTGAGTGTTTAGGATACGTGACCCATCGATTGAGAAAGAGAACGTGAGTATGAAAGAAGGCAGAGTGCAAGGACGTGAAAGAGTCAGTGTTTTAGAGTCAGTCATAGAGTTTTATGAGAGATAGCGAGTGAGAGTCAGCCGAGAGTTATTAACGCTTAGAATAAATTTTAGTTTAGAATACATCGCTTCTATATTTACATCGCTGCTTATTCTGTTGCCTGTCTAACATTCCTACATATATATGCTGGATATATGCAAAATATATATACAAAATATAAATGCAAATATGCAAAATAAAATTATATTTTTACAATACTTTCAGGAAACAACGATATTTTTATTCAGGTCTTTTACTTTAGTCATTTCCTAATGATAACTGCATATTTATTTATTAATGGTAATTGCATAGATATTCACAATCGAATTAAGCTAACAGAAATAGATAGAAATAAAAATATATCTTACATTCTTTTTATGGGTAATCATTGTTTTGTACAGGAATTTATTTTATCTACTATTACATTAAAAAATACCAAGAAATATCGAATAATTTTAATAATGTGTACGAAAATAACGGACAAACTTATCTTACCGCTCGCTGACAGACAGGCCCCGACGGTTACCGTCCAACGGACCTCATCGGCCGCCGACAAATGGATCGCGAAAACTCTGTGCTCGCGTAAACTCTCGATCGTTCCATAAACGATCTATCGAGTCCCAAAAGGGCCAAGTCTCCACGCGTGACGAATCATCGGTAGTTCGAGCAATTAAGCAGAGACACTCTCGAATTTTTCACCCATATTCCGTCGTGTCACACTTATTACACCCCTTAAAAATAATACACGTAGTATTACATTCGTATAAATTTTACAAAATTTCCAATAAAGATATTAATGGTCTGCTGGTGGAGCTCTGATCGTAAGCGAGGTATAAAGGAAGAAGGGGGTGAAAAAAGGGGTAAAAAGAGGTTAAAATTGGACGCGGGACACAAGCGCGATAAAAGAGATTAACGAATAAATAGGGAAATGGATGGGGAAAAAATGGTAAAATGGATAAGGATAACGATAGGAGAAATGAAGGAGGAATGGATAAAATAAGAAAAATGTTGATAGAAGGAAGAGAGGGTAGGAAAAAGGAAAGGAAGGAATGGTAGGAATAGAAAAGAGACCTGTGATAGGAGGTAGAGGAACAAGGGATAAGAATTATAAAAGTGGAACAAGGAGAGGAAGATAAATGGAAAGGAGGAAAGGAAAAATGGTGAGGGAAGCGATAGAGAAATGCTTCGGAAGAAATTTAGAGGTGGAAGCGGTAATAGAGTCAATGGGTAAAGGAAAACTTGAAAGGGGGGCATATATACGGATGACAACCTAACAAGAAAAGCAAAGAAAATACAAAGCGAATAAAGAAAGAAGGCAGTATAAGAAGGAGAGAAACGAAAAAAACAAGAATAGGATATAAAAAACTAAGAATTAGAGAAACTGCACGTCTGGAGTGAAAAAGATGGTCCATGTGAGTGATGGAATTGTGAAAAAGTTTCAGTAGAAGAAATATAAGAAGAACTAAAAATAGAAAGTGACAAGTTCAATGAGGAGGACACAAAAGATAGAAACGTAACATCGGAAAACATAAGACGGTTCAGAAAAGAAAACTTTTCTAAGAACTACGAAAAACCTTAAAGAAAATGAAAGAAGAGAAGAAAGAAGAGAAGGGAGGAGTATGTTAGAAAGCGAAAGGAATATAGAGAATGTGGTGGAAAAAGGAAAAGTTGATGCGAGAGGAGAGAAAGAAAAAGAAGGTAAATGCGATACAGGCGGAATGCGATAGATATAGAATGAATACCTGGGTATTAGTGTGAAACAAGGCCTGAGATTCAAGCTACAAGTGCAAGAAATGGCCCATAAGCGCAGGAAAGTCATCAATAGAGTGAC